GATGTTTCTCTCTCATCAATGTTTCTAACTCTCTATCTCTCTTCCTTCCTCTTTGTAAAAAATCAATAAAATATATTTAAAAAGAAAGAATTATGGGTTTGGCAAGTATCTTGCTACTATGTGTTTACTGATTCTGTTGCATTAAAACAGTGTTTAGTTTACTTGTTAAACTGCTAGTCAGTAGTTTTCGAAGTAGGGTTGCACATTAGAATTTACCTTGTTAAACTGCTAGTCAGTAGTTTTCCAAGTAGGGTTGCACATTAGAATTTACCAGTGAACTTTCACAGGATATCAGAGAGGTGGGGCCCAGGCATTAGTTCATTATGAAAGACCAACCTGTTGGGATACTGGTGACACTTGTCTCGGCACCTAAACCTCTCTGGCAGGTCCCTCAAACAAAGATCCTTGTCTATCATTATCATCATCATCATCATCATCATCATCATATACATTGAGCTCTTCATTGTGAAAGGGTAAAGAGAATAAAACAGGACAAAGGAAACTTATTGTGCTTAGCAGATATCTTGCAGAAAGTTTGCAGCTTTGAGCTCGGCATAGCCTAGATAACCACTAAGACATCTGATGCCAGGAGGAACCAAGGACAGACCGGACCCTTATGTCAGCAGAACTGTTTGCAGCCAGCAGAAGTGAATAAAAGTCTGCCTCCCCCTTCAATCACCACAGATTCCCTTTTCGGACTCCGTCCACCTGCACCCAGGTGCCTGGGATAAAAGTTCTTCTGATACATTATGGCCTCATGTCATAGGTGCGCGACCCTGGCCCACTCGGAACATTTCACATTGTACCAGAAACTTGCTAAGAGCATTGCCTCTGCATTAACTTAATTAATTCACTGAATGTGATATTCCTATGAAGTAGGTACAGTTTTTAATTTCTATTTCATGGGATAAAGAAACTAAGGCTAATAAAGTGACTTGCTCAAAAATCATGAAACTAGAAAAAGGCAGAGCTGGGACACTAATCCAGCTCTGGCTCACTCCAGAGCCCAAGTTCTGAACCATGTCTAAATCATACTGCTCCACTCCATTGCTAGGGCTGAAATCTTCTACCTGCCTGAGCACCACCCCTTCAGCTTCCTAGGAAAATTGTTCTTCCAGCTCCATTCCCTTGGGCTGGGCCCTTCCATGCAAGACTCATGTGCAGATACCCAAGATCCAGTGCTGACATTAAATCCTTTCCTTGGTGTTACAGGTGAAGATTTGTCTTCTACCTTTGACCTTTTACAGACTTGGATTTCTGTTAAAAAGACTCAGTTACCGAAAGTCTAGTGCAAATGAAAACCGACCCCTTAAAATCCATGCAAGGAGAACACAGGATTTTAAAACAAGAATGTAAAATTGTTATTTCCATGGCTTCAGTAATTGTTCTCAGAAAACAGTATTCCAGAGAAACAAATTAAGTAGAAATTCATGAACTAACCAAATCAGGCTTTATATTGACATGTATTTCGATAAGACATTACTTACTATAGAGCAGGTAGCCGGTTTTCTGTTTTTCATGCATTAAGTCATGGGTCCTTTCTGCCACAAGTACTTTTAGGTGTTTGCTGCACTTCTCCATCTAAGCATCCATCACAAAGAGAAATTATTTCATGGGAACAATTTTCCCCCTGAGTAATAATCTCTGACTCTTTGAAAGCACCTAGAAAGCAGTGGAATTTCCATAGGGGGCCCTGGGCTTAAAATTATCATCTCCTTGTGATCAGTAACCAAACCAGTTCTGAGGGGGTACACCACTGAGACTTGCCCTGAATGCTCTGGTAAATCCACACCTAAATGGATGCACTTAGTGAGAACTGCGAAGTCACCCAAGCTTAACAAAGAAATCATCATGTCCTGAATAATTTTGCTAGGATCTTGTATAAAAGCTTCATTACTTGTCCAAACATGGGTCTTTGGGGTGGGTTGTTTTTTCTTCACCTCCCAATCAACTGCAGTGATCAAGAATAACAAGCACACACTGATTTGTGGATATTCTGAACAGAATTACAGAACTGAGCAATTTGGAATCATCTATTTTTGGGTTTTTATGCCTTTTTTAACCTTAGCTGTCCCATGAACAGTACGTAACCCTTTTACAGTCACAATTCTCATTTTGTGTTCTATTAACTTAATTCCTATCAATTACACAAATTATCATAAAGCCCATAAGCTTATCTAAATCCCAAAGCGATGGGTATTATGGCACCACAGCTGCATCTGTAGATTTGTTTTCATCCTCATATGTGTCACTTTGTCATTGTGTGTCTATGGCACCAGAGCTCTACAGTAATGCTGGGCTCCTATCTCAGGATTCTGCCCTCTCTTCTCTTTTCTCTCCACATCTTCTCCCTAAGAGGCTTCATCTCCATCTACAGCTCCATTTAGCCATTGATAGTGGTGGTCCCCAAATTTCTGTCTCCATCTGAGCCTCTGTTCCAAGTTCCTAACACATATTCTAATTGCCAACTGGATTATCTCTATCAGAAAAATGCCAAGAAGTTGTTACTTGAGGCAAGAGATTACTCTTGTTGATACATCTCTTTCCAATACATAACATGAGTTCATGCTTAGTTGATGTGATGGCTTCAGGGTCAGAACTCAAGAAGTTCCCTTTCCTTCCTCACTTTCTTACCTCTGCACACTCTGAAGGGCAAGGACAGCGATTCTCAGGCTTCCCTGTCACAAAGAGGACACTCCACAGAACAAGGCTCTTCTTTCTGTGGGAGGGGAGAAAAGAAATGAAGAAAAAAAACAGCATTAGAAATAATCAGCTGGCCATGGTGGCTTAGTGGTTTAGTATCGACCAGGAGATTATGGTTCGATTCCCAGTCAGGGCACATGCCCAAGCTGTGGCTCCATCCCCAGTAGGGAGTGTGCAGGAGGCAGCCAATCAATGATGAAAGATCATTGATGTTTTCTATGTCTATCTTCCTCTCCCTTTTTCTCTGAAATCAATAAAAATATTTTTTTTAAAAAAAGAGAAACAATCAAAAAAAGCATGTGCAAAAATCTCTAGAGCAAAATATAGTTTTAACCCCTCTGAAAGCTATCCTTGCTTTTATTGATTTATTTATTCATTCATTCATTCATTCAATTAGTATTTACTGAGCACCTACCATGTCTCAACTATGATCTAGGCACTCAGGATATAGCAGAGCAAACCAAAGGCCCTGCCCTCAAGGAATTTATAGTCCAGAGATGGTATATAGCAATCCACCAAACATATATAGTTTGTCAGTTTGTGATAAGACAACAGAAGAGAGTTAGGAATCTATATCAATGACAGACCATGTAATCTAAGCCAGGTGGGAAGGTAAAGGCATAAGAGAGAAAGTGAGGTGCAGTCAGGTCAATGGATTGGACCTCCCAGCCTGATACATTGGTGGGGTTTGAAAATTAAAGTGCATTCGATAGAAAATGGGAGGTGAAGTCAAAGAGTGAGATATTGAAATGGAGAATTTGGAGGAGATCCAATTATGGGCAATGATGATATCTCAGATTGAGATATAGAAATGGGTAGCTGAGGCAGGTGAAGGACAAGATGATGGGAGAAGATGGGGGTCAAAAAATTAATAGGATGGTATTGGACACATTATCCTCATGGATATTGAGGTTGCCTAAAATTATAATGGAAGTGGGAGAAACGGGATTCCAGGGCTGAATCTGTGACCTTCCACCAGAGAACTAAATGGGAATAAGGGAGTAGTGAGCTCGAGCCTTAAAGATGCCTCTCAGTCTCTCTGGGTCTCAACTGCCTCATCTGAAAACGAAATGGCACAAATAAATAATCAATAAGGTGACTTACAGCTAATAGCTCTAGTTCTGGATGACCCCAAAGGGAGAAGCTGAGGTGGTTGATTCAACCCCTTGGCAGGTAAAAAGGACAAATTAACAAGTGTATCAATTTATCTGTTAACAAGAATTTAGAATTACACTGTAAATTAGACATTCCCTTATGAGATTCACTCTGGAGGCCTTACTATGTGCCTTAATTAACCACAAAGGAAAGAAAATTCTATTCTGCCACCTCTCTCTTCTTTCTCTTTTTTCTTCTATGCCATTCCCACTAGTAAAGAGCTGGTAGTGCTCCTTTCTGATCGCATGTGACTTTCTCAACCTGGCATTTAAGAATCTCCAGCAAAGGACCCCTCCCAAACAGCCAGTCATTCCCGGTGCTCCTCGGCACGGCTGACTGACTCTACCTGCTGCTCAGGCCTTTATTGCCCACTGCCCCCTGCAGCCCACACCCTCTCCCCACACTCCTCCTGTAGAGGACAGAGTGATGTCAGCCTAGCCCCTGCCATAGACAAGTTCCATATGTGGTTTACTGCTCAGTGTAGAAATGACCTTGCTCATCTGCACTCTGAGAGAATGTACTTTCAGATATTGATAACAAATTGTGACTAGTATGAGTCAATCCCCATAAAGTGTGGTAGTTTGTTTCGTGTTTTTTCTCCCATCTCTGTGGAATTACACTTAAATTGCATGGTTATTAGAAATTAATTTACTTACACATATATTAAAGCTGGGCAGTAACCAGATAATTGAGAGAAATGGGACAGATTTTCTCATTATATACTATCATCTTTCCTTCTGTTCCTTTTTGATTCAATTTAAAAGTATCAAGGTCAATCAATAATATTTGATCATTCTGGTTGAAATCCCCATGTCACTCGGTTTATCTGTTAAATGACATTCAGAAGCACGTGAAGCTATTGCTCAACACAACTGCCAAATGTTTTACATTTAAAATAATAAAATGAAAAATAATTTCAAGGAACCATGTCCCACTCTCATTCACCTCCCATTTCTCTATAGACAATGTCTTAATGACAGTTTTTGGTCTCTGTTGAAATATGTATAATTTTTGTGATCTGTTGGAATTCATATATCTGGAAAGAAATTTCTTAAAATAAATAAACAAAGCCTGAGGGTGAGAAAGATTTATTAAAGGACAAGAACTCGCATCCTGGGGAATAAAATCCATGCTCAACATCATTATGATTGGAATGTGGTCAAAGGAAACAAATCCCAAAGGTCCCTGTGTTCCAGATGCAGCCAGAGTATTTTTAGTGCTGCTCTCCTTCAACTCAATAGGCCTAGATTTGGATGGAGGAACTCATCCTAGTACCCAGGAGACTTTACAGTATGGGATTTTGGTTCAGTGCTTTTTCAAACCAAAAGCATATGCTATCCTATATAATAAAGAGATGATATACAAATTACCCTCACAAAGATGGCTGCCTACGACCAGGCCAGCAGGGGGGTTAGTGAGGGATGACCAAACGACTGAACAAGCAGGCTGCATGGGTGGACCAGGTCAGCATTGGAGAGGGTGCAGGCTGGGCTGAGGGGACCTCCCCGCATGTACTGGGCCTCTAGTTTAACTATAGATGAGGAGGAGAAAGAGCAGCAGGAGGAGAATAGATATATCTTATTCTCTATTAAACATATATGAACAAATCAGACACAATATTGTCCTGTGCCAGGATAGGGCACACTGTTTGCTGCTGAGCAATGGAGAAGCAGACTCCCTGATGGCTCACTTGAAAATATGTTCAATAGCATCTTACCGAGACTGGGTCACTTCAGGTGGCAACCTCCAACAAAATCATGGCATAGCTACAAAAAGATACACAGGTCATTGTGATGTGAAATTTCTCACCCAGAACAAATTAAAAATCCACACAGATTTCACTTCCTCTCTGAAATGCAGAGATAGTGGAGACATTGTTTAAGATAAACTTAGCTACACCCAAATTTGTTAATTCTATAAGGTCATAATTATCTGTTAAAAAAATGAATATTTTTCCAAGTAAATCTGGTTCACTGGTATATATTTAAAAATAAATTTAGATGTTCATAGATTTGTCTATAGTTACAGACTAGAGGTTATTTGTTATGCTTTTTACATTGCTAATACCCACTAATCTATGGATATCAACCTGAACTCTTAGTTATACTCAGTAAGAGATGATGTTGGAAAAACTTTTCCCAATTACTCATTTGCCTGTTAGTTTTCATTGTGGTATTATGTAATCATAAATGAGTGTTTCCTTTTAGTACCTCTAAAGTTTCACTTTTTTAACTGAAAATTTAAAGCAGTCCCCAGGTTAATTTTGGTTAAATGTGTGCACTAGGGATATAATGTTATTTTTGCCAAATGGGTAGTCAGTCATCCTGAATCCTTTATTCAGACAATCTCTCCTCACTTATTTGAAATTCCATTTTTATCAAATACTAAATTATCATATCTACTTTGGCCCATTTAAAGACTATTTACTTATCCTTCTAGTCTCATTTCTCACCACCCTTACCTCCACATCCACCTTTATCTTTAAATTCTGGTCATACTAATCTATTTACAATCCCAGATTGGACCATCCTCTCTTACACATGCTGTTCCCTTTAGAATGGCCTTTCTTCTCCCCTTCTCCTGGCAAACTTTTACTCTTCCTTATCCCACCTCCACCTTGAGAAAACTTCCTTGGCCCACTCCCATGCCCAGTCTGGACTAATCGCTACTCCCATACACTTGACTCTCCCCTAAGGACTTCTATCAACTGTTCTATAACTCTACTTATTTGTCTTTCCTACCAGACCAAGATATTTTTGAATGTAGGGAACATTTCTTGTTTATTTTTGTGACCTTCAGGGTCTAGCCCAGTGTTTGTTAGATAAAGTAATTAGAAGCCAGTGCCTACTTGCTATGACTTGCTGTTGCCTGTAGCTTATATTCTTTAGATGTTAAAGGACTTTCTGCCAGCATTTCCAGCCAGGTCTTCCCTGGGCACTGTGGGTAGGCCCGATTCAAAATCCTGTTCCCTCTAGGTATCCCTGTCTAGATGTAATGACTCATTCCTTCCCATCCGTGCCCCAAGATATAACATAAAACCTCCTCCAAGATAAAGCAATGAATTCATTGCATTACAATAGATCCTTTGGAACGTTGATGGGAAAAGGGCTTGGTTGTATCTCCCACTACTCAAATGCCTGGCTCTCACTGAAAACCCAAGTTGAGAGGAATGTCAGCATTGAGCAGAACATCCATCAAACTTCCCTTTGGGCAGGATTCTGTCATAATAACCACATCTGGCACTTCAATGCTGACTCCAATAAATCTGCAAATGGTTGGATGGCCTAATTCTCCGGAGAAATCAATAACAAAGAACAGAAAGGATTTATCTGGATCATGATCTCGTAATTCCCACTTTAAAATATGACCTAGTTTTTCTGACCACATAAAGGAACAAACATAAAATATCCTCGTAGATTTAGTGTGGTGTGCAAATAAAACTAGCAAATTCACCTATTGTGATGCAGAATAAAGTATTTAGAAAAAGATATGCCATCATCATCACAATTCATTCTGGACCAGGCACTTTATAGCCAGTATCTCTAATCTGCACAACAACCCTGTTGATCACTATGATTATCTCCACTTTGAATGAGGAAACTGAAGCTCAGAAAGGTGAAGTGACTCACCAAGGTCCCCCATAGGTAAGAGAGCCAGATCCTAATCCTGACTTTGCCTAATTCCAAGTCATTCATGGCCATTGCTATACTGCATTCATTTCAATATAAAACACAAGTACAAAGAAAAAAGTTCTCACATGGAGAAGTTTCGTTTTTCTTAAAAATGTTGCTTTGGAGCCCTAACCCGTTTGGCTCCGTGGATAGAGCAGTGATGGCGAACCTTTTGAGCTCAGCTTGTCAGCATTTTGAAAAACCCTAACTTAACTCTGGTGCCGTGTCACATATAGAAATTTTTTGATATTTGCAACCATAGTAAAACAAAGACTTCTATTTTTGATATTTATTTTACATATTTAAATGCCATTTAACAAAGAAAAATCAACCAAAAAAATAAGTTCGTGTGTCACCTCTGATACGTGTCTCATAGGTTCGCCATCACTGGGATAGAGCATCAGCCTGCGGATTCAAGAGTCCCAGGTTCAATTCTGGTCAAGGGCATGTACCTTGGTTGCAGGCACATCCCTAGTGGGAGATGTGCAGGAGGCAGTTGATTGATGTTTCTCTCTCATTGATGTTTCTCTCTATCCCTCTCCCTTCCTCTCTGTAAAAGAAATCAATAAATTATATATATATTTTTTAAAATGTTGCTTTGGAAATAAAAGGCACTTTCCCAAGCCAAGTAGTCACAAACTTTTCAGTGTCTTTCCACATATGTCTCTCATGTTTGTTTCTCTTTAAGCTGGAGTTCCCGACCCCGACTCCCAGAGAGGGAGAAGGCTTTCCCAACCCAGGTGTGAGACTGGCATTTCAGCGTCGCTAATTGCTACATGTGCATCATCAGCACGAAGGCACAGGTGCTGCTTTGCATAAACCGAGGATTGACTTACAGCTTCTCCATGGGGAGTTTTCCAGTCATAACATTTTTCTCTGATCAAAATTCCACCATCTTTTCAGATTAAAGCTTATTTTCAATCATCAACCCTTCGATTCAATCACAAATGAGACATCCTACAAGGGATAGACAGAGCATTACTTTAAAAAACTGATGCTGGTGCGTGGAGGAATAGTGGTGCTTGTTGTATATTCCCAGTGGAGAGATGAAGGGCCTTGCGCTCCCTCTCCCCTCTCTTAGGAGGACTGGATGGAATGCTCTGGTCTCTCCTGTCCCAGACTCACTTTCCACTGAGAGAGTGGGTCGTTTGAGGGGTGAGAGCTCACACTCAGTGTGCTGCAGTTCATGGCATGCAGCATCACTGTATTAAATACTACCACTTGGCCCTGGCTGGTTTGGCTCAGTGATAGAGCATCAAACTTCGAACTGAAGGGTCCCGGGTTCGATTCCGGTCAAGGGCACATGCCCGGGTTGCGGGCTCGGTCCCCAGTTGAAGGCCTGCAGGAGGTTGGAAGCAGCCAAGCAATGATCATCTCTCATCCTTGATGCTTCTCTCTCTCTCCCTCTCCCTTCCTCTCTAAAATCAATAAAAATATTTTAAATAAATACTACTGCTTGCATTTCTGTTCCTTATGGTAAGCACCCCCCGGGCAGGCCCTCCTTGGTGGGGCAGGCCTGCCATTCTTTTTTTTTATATATATTTTTATTGACGTCAGAGAGGAAGGGAGAGGGAGAAGGAGGTAGAAAGATCAATGCTGAGAGAGAATCATTGATCAACTGCCTCCTGCAGTCCCCACACTGGGGATTGAGCACGCAACCCAGGCATGTGCCCTGACCAGAAATCAAACCATGACCTCCTGGTTCATAGGTTGACGCTCAACCACTGAGCCATGCCTACCAGGCCTGCCGTTCTTCTTGTTTAACCTATGACTGGGTGGGTGTGGCAGACTTGTATCCCTGGCATGTGAGTAGTTGGGTAAGTGACTACATTGGCTCTGCAGGCCCAGCTACTCACTTGCTCACTTAGCCATGCGGCTGAGCATGTGAATTTAATGACAGGTTTGGTTGGGCTGGGTGGTGGAAGCATGCACTTCAACTTCACACTGAATAAGGTTCTCCAATCCAACTTTTACCAAAGTTTACTTTGGGTGTCAGGAGCTTGTTTATCTATGAAAAGAGTGGTACTTTTCTCTATTATTCCTTATGTATGTTCCCCATTGGTTAAGATGAGAAAGAGCAGGAGAGGTGAATAGCAAACTGAACATTTAACAACTGAGGGTTCTTAGAAACTGTATTCTGAAAATATTCTCTATTAACTTTAGAATGGCATCAAGTCAAGGGCACATAAAGAAAACCCTCCTAACTGCAAGATGAGACCTGAAGGATGGCATATTAAAAGAATGACCACTTGTGCCTGCTTTATTTTTTTTTAAATATATTTTATTGATTTTTTTACAGAGAGGAAGGAAGAGAGATAGAGAGTTAGAAACATCGATGAGATAGAAACATTGACCAGCTGCCTCCTGCACACCTCCTACTGGGGATGTGCCCACAACCAAGGTACATGTCCTTGATCGGAATCGAACCTGGGACCTTTCAGTCCGCAGGCCGATGCTCTATCCACTGAGCCAAACCGGTTACGGCATTGTGCCTGTTTTATAATCTAATCCACAATAATATGCTTTTTATATATACATCAAGTCTATGATACTTTGGTTTGCACAATCTGGCAAGCCACAGAGTACTTTGCAAAGGTGAAGAATTGTGAGTCAAACAGTATGTGGCCACCACTGCAAGCTACATTGCACCTAAAAGACCAGTTTCAGTTTTGGGACTATTTTGCAAAACTACAAACTTCTACCCAACCCAGTCTCTTCTAACCAATTTAAAAAGCTGCCAACCCAGTGTCTCCCCATTTATTCCCTACCTTTTTTTTTTCTTTGAAGAGGAAAATGAAGATTCACACATTGCCCCATTAGTCTTGGGAATAATAAAAAATGGGAAAAAGCTATGTGTGAGCAAGGTCCATGGCATGAGCATTGCAAATATTTTCATCCTTGATAGAAATAGATTCTTATCCTTGAGTCCAAAGGCCAGTTCGTAAGGACATGGGTCAGAGGTCTATGTCACAATAATATATACAGTGGGGCCTTGACTTACGAGTTTAATTCGTTCCATGACGGAGCTCCTAACTCAAATTACTCGTATGTCAAATCACTGGCGTTCACTGTGACGTTTGCTGCGCCAACTAGCGGTGGGGTATCTGAAGCTGGCTCGTAACCCGAATTTTAGCTTGCAACTCAAAGCAAAAAATTGGCCGAGAGACGGCTCATATCTCGAAAAACTCGTTAGTCGGGACACTCATAAGTCAAGACCCCACTGTATAAAGAAGGTTTGGAGGTTGAACTGACTTAAGTTCAACATAAGCCAGCAACATGAAAGCTGACAGGGAGGCTGATGCTATTGAGGGTACTGTGGGTAGAGGTATGCCTCCAAAGTTAGGGAGGTGTGTTTTGCTCTGCACTGGCAGTGCTGGGTTCCATCCTAGATGCCACACTTCGAAAGGAATGTGAGTCAACAAGCTGAAGAACAATGCACTCTATAAAGGGCCTTAGAACCTGTGTTTCATGAAGGAAAACAAGGATATTCAGCCTGGTTAAGAGAAAACTGGAGGGAGTCCTGATATCCATCCTTCCCAGAAAGCCAGCACGCTGCTGCCCCCAAAGTGGACCACCAGAGGTTTATAGCAGCACTCACTCATCTAATAGGTAACTCGCATGAACGCTCTGGTATATTTACCTGCCTGTCACTTCTATGGTATGCCTGCTGCACCCAGATGTCAAGCTAGTAGGCTGGGATCAATTAGCAATGTAATTAAAGCTGAATGTAATTAACAACATAATAGTGAGATATTCTTGTTTAATTTCCTGAAATTGGGAGACTGACATTCCGAAAGAAGATAATAAATATAAATAAAGCTCCCAAATTCAAATGCGCATTTGAGCTACATCTAAATAATTGTTCACCAAGCCATTATTACCAACTAGAAATTCACTGCCCCTCCCCACACACACAGATTAATTATCTTAATTAATGAACTTTTGGCCCACTACCAATAGACTTGGATGCCCCAGTGTCTTTAAATGCTTTAAAAATTAGATAGCTGATGATTATACAATTTGAATGTACTTAATGCCACTGAACTGTACACTTAAAAAAGGTTAAAATGCAAGAAACAATGAGAATAAATGACCTAACTCTACAACTCGAAGAGTTAGAAAGAGAGCAACAAAAAAAAGCCCACTGTAAGCAGAAGGAAGGAAATAACAAAGATCAGAGTGGAGATAAATGACATAGAGACCAAAAAAACAATACAAAAGATAAACAAAACCAAGAGCTGGTTCTTTGAAAGGATAAACAAGATTGATACACCTCTAGCCAGGCTCACCAAGAAACAAAGAGAGAGGACCCAAATAAGCAAAATCAGAAATGAAAGAGGAGAAGTAGCAACAGACCCCACAAAAATACAAAGGATTGTAAAAAAAAAAAAAATACCATGAACTACTCTACTCCAAAAAACTGGATAGCCTAGATAAAATGGACATACAGTAGGTCCTCAGGTTACGTTGGAGATCTGTTCCTACTG